TGAATAATGGGGAAATATATATACATTTCCCCATTATTCAAATTATAAGTTAAATAATCTTCACTACAAAATAATTATTTAAAGTTTCAGATTTAAATAATGGAAAGTATGGATATTTTAAATTGTCATCCTTCAACTGATCATCTTATTCAGCTTTTATTAACAAATTTCACAATACAACAATCTAATGGAAAACTGATATTAATTTTTTTAGCTTTTTAGAAATGAATATATTTCATTTGCCAGTTAGAATTCGCATACTTGGAACTTTAAAAGTGAAAACGGATTTGTCAGTGGCATGCTCTCATACATAGAATTAAAGCATTGTACACATTTACTTCATGAACCTGACTCATTGAGATATCTGAATCTCCTACATGTAATATTTATAGGGTGCTTTCTATTTCTTAAGTGGTCCATTCACCTCAAAATATCAAGATCTGACATACTTCATGTTCAATTACTCTTAAGGAGTATTATGATTTATCAGAGAATGAAAATAAATACAATCTTCTTTTTAGCATTTGCTCTTCAATGGATTTTAAAACCATTATATAATTTGATAACAGCAGCCTATTCAAATCTAAGGGTATGCTTAAGAGGACAAAACAAAACAAAACAAAACAAAAAACCAAACCTTATGTTTCAAATATTTCTTACAATAGTAGAGAAAGAAAACATTTTAAAAAAATCCCACAAGGGTAAGCTCTCCTTATACAAAGTCTATGGTAATTTAATATTCATTCAGAACAGATGGACCTTCTGTTCTAAATTCTTAATTCAAAAGACTCAAATAGGCAACTTGTGGGACAATAGGGCACCAAATGGAGCTTGGCAGAGAGGGGGAAAGCACAAAATTGAATGAGATCACAATTGCTTCCCTTTCTTTCACAGAGTAAGTGCAAACTGGGTGAGCTGAGCTTAGGGGAGAACCTAAAGGAAACACGTTTTGTGCTTTTTTTATCAACTTTTTTGTGTATCTGTAATTCTGAGGTTTATCATGAATATGCAATCATATTAGCGGACTATGTTTTGCATCAGTACTTTAAGGAAAGACTATTAAAAAAGTCAGAAAAGTCAAAATTATTCCTAGAATCTAAAATTTAAAAAATATTCTAAAAAATAGGATGAGAATACTTCTAGAACTTTCTAGGAGCAAATTACATATATACATGTAATACCAATCTATTTATACATTTAACAAATGTTTACTAAACTCTTACTATATGCCACAACAAAAAAACTGCTGAATGCCATGATTCAAAGATGAATAAGGAATGACTATGACCTCACTATGTAAAATGGTTGTTGTTATGTACCAGCAAGTCAGAACCTATGCATTACTGACCCTCCAACAGTTTTTTAGAGGCAGTAAATTGCACAGGCAGAGACTATAACTATTTCTTCTTCAGAGCAGCTGATGGATTTGAACCATACCCCTTTGGATTGGTGGCTCAGTATCTTAATACTAAACCACCAGAGCTCCCTACCAATAACCATATCAAACATTAATTACATAAACTCATATGATTCTTTCTTTATCTGGTGGGAGTATAACAAAAATAGCATCAGTAGATGACTTTAAGAATCATAAACCTGGAAGAGCTGTGGGTGAGCATTAACATTACTGGTAAGTATATTAATTTTCTCCTGGACACAAGAGCCTATTATTTGGTCCTAAAAGCCTTCTGAGGTCCCAACTCTTCTCACTATTTCTTAGTTGTTGGAATTGATGGAAAACCTCATAAGCAGTT